ATATATTGTGAGACTTTTTACCCCATTACTATTTGTATCAGCATCAGCCCTCAAAAAACTATATTGTTTGGGTTCTGGTTGTGCATAATTTGCTGTGACAAAAGTCTTGTATCCAAAAACTAAGCTTTATCATTATTATCTTCAATTGGGAATAAGTGTGCAGAGCTTTTTTCTGTATTTGATGTTTTTTGCCTTGTTACAACTTAGTTTTTGAGTTGTGAGTTTGGAAATCTTCTCAAAATGACATGCTGCTGTGATAAAAATAAAGTTTGAACTAAAACTTGTAAAATAATGTCAATACTATCAGCTCTGAGACTTAAAAACAGACATGACAACATGTCTAAAGACAGAGAAACTGGACAGCTTAAGATTTATAAGAAGGCCTACGATTATGACTCACATGTGGTTTTTCAGATTCATTAATCTAGGAGCCACAAAGAGGCTGTGAAACCAAATCTTCAGACAGTCTGACCCAGAGAGGGGATTTGGTTTGGATGACAGAAAACTCAGAGCTTCTCCCGAGAGCACGATCAACGTTATATCGATCAAACAATCCTGCTAAGTGCCCCTTATATCGATGCCCAAATACTCTTTAAAATATGGTATTGCCTCATTTTGCATGCCTCGCTGCCATACAGGTTGATGTGTTGGCACAGAGCCACCTCTGGGGAACGTCTCACCCTCCATCTCTTTTGTATTTTCATTGGAAGAGAAAGGGATGGGTTGAAAGAGGCGGGGTGGGCAATGACAGCAGGAGACAATGAAAATGGCAAATAGGGAAGAGATAAAGAGACAGCGGAACGTAAAGGACAAAGGGAAATATGACGGGAATATGCGGCGTGAGTGACAGCCGGGCCGACTGTTGCACTCATCAACAATCATCTGGTCAACACGCGAGAAGAGAAAAAGGCAGAAGAATTAGTATATTGAATTTTCAGCCTAATTAGGGAGAGCACTATGTCCTTTGTGATCAACCAAGCAGAAATATATAATTACAAAACCAATTACGAGCTAGTGAATGTATCACATCTGACACAAGCCTCCCCCGAGCAGAACAGGACATTTTCAGGTGGAGGAGAGAGAGAGAGAGAGAGGGGAGGAGTGGGTGGGAGAGGGCGAGGGAGGCGACCACAAAAACGTTTGTCGAGATTTTCAATTTAATTTAAACAGCGGTTAAAAAAGATGAGTGAAACCATGAATATGTATGAATGTACAGCATGTGTAATAAAGATTAGGGTGAGTGAGTCCACTTACATTTATGTAAAAGCCTGCATGTGTGTGTGTGTGTGTGTGTGTGTGTATGCATCAGAGTCAATAACGGATTATTTTGTTAAATATTCAGTCAGGTCAACTGATCACGATCAAATCAATACTCAGCAGCAGGAGGTAAGAAAAACAACACCAGCAGTAATCTGATTTAATCCAGTACAAAGTCACCTCTCCCACTGCAGCTGGACGATACTGTGATGTTAAATTTCCTGAACTTTTGAGAAAATCCTGACACGTATGACATAATTACTTTCTTCCTGTGAAGTAAAAATCAAATATGATGAAATAAAGGTTCTGCGAAGTTTGGTCCAACTCACATATTCAACGATGAAGCCAAGCGTCATCAATCACCATCAAGCTCTGACATGCAGGTTTAAATGGGAGCTGTAGGTTTTAATAATACTGCAGCTCCAGAGTGCCTCTGGTCCAAAAACAATCCCATCAGTGAATCATTTGACTTATTTGATTGTCATGTTGAAATGTAAAAAATGATTTAAAGTACTATACTTTAGTTTTTTTTTTGTGGTGGTTCGATCCCAATGGCTTGTGAGATGAGGCACTGCATGAATGGTGTGTTATAAGAAAAAAACGCAAGCGCTGCGTATAGGAGCAATGTATGGATGTGTGTGTGAATGCAACTTTGAGTGGCTGATAAGAGGAAAAGTGCTCCATAAATACACACCATTTACCATTTATCATACTGAGGTATCTTTATATATCAGCATATATTGCTGGTGTGACTTTATGAAGCTAAATGATACCATGTGTTTTTAAGCACTTGCACTTGCACTATGGAGTGTTATTTTGATGACATGAAACTATAGTGTGTGTATCTACATGGTGTCAGATTTACACCGTGTGGTTTCACACTATTTCACTGATCTATTCCACTGTTAATGTGCCAAGAAAAAATCAATGCTCGATATGAACAAACAAGCTGTGTCCCAATTCAGTGGCTGTGTCCTCTGGATGGATCCTTCTTAGGCCAAACTATCCCAGAAGAACCAGACTCATTTCGGTGAAGGCTGCCTTCATGGGCCACATGGACCACGTCTTACAGGAGGTGGCCCATGAATTGTGTCACAGCTTTATATGGCAAGTATAAACATAAATAATGCAGGTTAAAAATGTTCTAAAGAAATGTATAAATGTAAATGTTAGAAAGGAAATGCAATGAACACGGTTGTTTTTGGAGAGAAATACCCAAGAGTAAACACAGGGTGTCTTTAAAGTGTTGTTTTTACTGTCGACGCCGTGTGAGAGAGGTGTTGTCTCAACTCCACACTCATCTCTGAGGCTGCAGCTGAGGTTTGAACACAATTACATTATGTAGATGGGTGAGTTCCAACTTTTTCCTCCATGTTTTTGTTACATTTTAATGTAAAAAGATGACTGGTGATTTAAAAATATCTGTTTGTCGTATATAGTGACGGCATGCATGTGTGTGTGTGACTGGATGTGCTTACATGAATACACACACGCACACACACACGCACACACACACACACGCACAAGCACAAGCACAAGCACAGTCATTCATATGAATCGGAGCCCAGAGAGCTGACGGAGACAACCTGGCAGTGTTCTTATCTTCCTCACATTGCCGAGTGACTCACAGCATTACCAGGCAGCACAGTCATTAGGGGCAAGAAGACCTTTCATATCTCAGTCATCCCCACAGCTCTCCTCAGGGCTGGTCAACAGGGACCAACAACACTCCTCTTCCTCCTTTTCCTCTTCCTCCTCTCCTTTCCTCACTATCCTCCATTCACCCACCCCTTTTTTCTCTGTCCCTCTTTTCTCCATTGTGTTTCTGTCTGGCAGTGTCTCACACAGATTTAATGTCGGGTGTTCTCCCAGTGTGTTAAATAAGTCATTTTTTTCCTTGCCTTCAGGGGACAGAGCCTGTGTTTCCCCGGTCAACCACAACAGTCACCACTACACACATACAGATCCCTAGTGTGTGTGTGTGTGTGTGTGTGTGCGCGTGTGCGCGTGTGTTAGTGATGTGTGAGTATTCAGCCGTGGGCTGCTGGTGGCTGCTGGGACATTTCACCCCATCTCTTCCTCACTGCCTCAGTTTCCTCCACGCCCACCTGCATTTTCTGAGGGCACAAACCGAATTCCTGATTCACAATGGTGAAACAAGTGGTGCCTTGGTAGGATTGGTTCTGTGCTTCCACTCAATTTGTATGAGTGTGTGTGTGTGAGATGGGTTACATGAGCTGGGACAATGATATTATTCACAGTCATTGCACCCCTCTTGCTGAGGCTGTGCCAGCAGGCAGGACAGTTAGATAACAGGCACGGTGAAACCAAAGCTCAGAGCCAGAAAGGTAAAACAAGTGGCATCGTTTAGATGATCGAGTTGTGCGTTTGTGTGCGTGTGTGCGTGTGGTGAAGGTTTTACTCATGTTGTGAGGACCTGAATCTGTTTCTACAGTCACATTATGGGGACTTGTCTTCCTTAAGACATGTTATAATGTTTAGTTTAGATTAAGGTTAAGTCATGTAATGTATTATGTATTATATCATTTCTGCATATTCTGTGATTTATTTTTCTCATTTTTTGGAACTTTGGCAGATTTGACAAAAAATGTGGAAAAATGTGAAAAGCTGCTCAGTTTAAAAACAAATTTCATTGCAGTAAATGACACAATGAGCTGAGAAATAACAACAAATCAGTATATGAACTGTAAAACTACTGTTCTGTCATTTTAGTAACAGTTTTTTCATAATTTATGATGAGGCTATTTAAAGCTGCTATAATTAACATATTTTTAACAAAGGATCAAATACTTGTATATGAAAGCTAAGAAAACAATTAACGCAGGCGTGATGAAGTTGTTTTCATTCTATTATTGTGCTGTATTACTCTATATTTACATGACTGAAACATAGAGGAGAGAGATTAGATTTATTTGACAAGGAAAGATGGAGGAACAGATGCTGAACACCGTCTCACCTCATGTTTGCCCTTCATCCTGCAGATCCTGATGTCATTCTTGTTGGACTCCCATGTTCTTTTCTGCACATTTAAAAAAAGCACACAGACACACGCCACTGGTCAGCTACATGTGCATCTTTCTGTAGCCGGAAAATGACATTTTGCGGCCTAATGATCACAGATACAGCCACATGGAAGAGGTAAACAGTGTGTGTCTCGTCCAGGAGGTGCTCACCTTATTGTAGAACATCTCATCTCCTGCGACAATGTCCAACTCCACACGGAAAAGGTCATCCCTGAAAAGAGAGGGATAGAGAAAGTGGCAGCTAGTGAGGTAAGGCCAGACACTGCACAAGCGTCTGTAGTACAGCTTGAATACTGTTGCCGATCTGGGCAGTGCAAGTCACTGCAGATTTTCTTTTGGATGAAATCCAGGCACACACTTAATACAAACTCTGAATAGAGGTAGTTCCACCAGGGTTTTACAAATAACCCTCCACCTTATGTATAATCCATAATGCCAGCATATTAGAGACATTCATTCCTTTAAAGTTGATCAGACCCACAGAGATTAGAGAGCAGCTTTACAATGTCTTCCATTCCTCCCGATTTATATGAGAAATGGAAGCCGACTGCATAATGATGTCTCATATTTCCCGTTCGCCTATTGCCTCCGCTCATTAAACTTGACTTGCTGCATCGAATTTGCTGTCAGGCCTCTGAATTCGGCTTATCAGTCTTATTCAAAACCCTGAAATTGAATTAATGGACGATTTAATCAAGTTGTTGTACTGATGTTTACACCCCCCCCCGCACACACCCGCATGCTGCCTACACAAGGCACAAAAACCTAACACCATGCATGAATTCATGATGTTCAGAAAACACCACTACACTCGTCTACTGCTGCTCTGCTCATAATTCTGCAGTTACCTTGGGTGTTCACCTGAAAATGCCCACTACATGAGAGTTGGGCTATGCAGGTAAAAGCTGACGTTTGCATACTGATCAAGGCCTTGGTATATTTGTACAGATGGATCTGAAGCTTGGGCCTCATCTAAGTAAAGGCTCGATGCTTTGAATGGGCTAATCTGGAAATCTGCCGTAGCTGTGCTATTGATTTTATCGACTCCATCCAGCTCTGCTTCCCATCTGTGCTGCGTGCTCCTCCGATGTCTTATCATGTTTGAGTACCAATGTGAGTATCCCTACCACCTGAGAGTGTGCATCAACATGTATTAAAGGGGGATTCTGATATTTTTCTCAACTTCTTATTGAGCAAGTCATTTGCAACATTGAAAAAAGCAGTTTTAGAGAACATTTCCTGAACCCATTTATAAACAAAGGGCCTAGGTTGAGTAATTGTCTATGTCAATGTATGTTTTTCTTTTTATAGAGAGAGCTGTGAGAATGTGTGCTCCATATGAACACAGGTAAGCCAAGGCCATCAGGATTCTCCTCTCCTGAATAATTCATCCCCACTTCCTGTTGGTGTGGTTTGAAGACGCCCACCCTAATCAGCCTCGCACGGCTGAGGGGCGAAGAAGTGCCAAATCACCAAACACTTGCCTGGTGCCTTCTTGCTTTAACAGGTCAGAGTTTAAGAGTTCTCCAAACACTGGAGTGGGCCCGAGTGTGAGGCGTAATCTCATCCAGGCTGCTTCAGCGTTGTGTCAGCTTAACATAATGAGTAAAGCAACAGGCCTCCTCGCTGGCAACCAGCACTGTTGCCTGTGATAGGACAGAAGAGGAGGGAATTATTCATGCTACTGCTTCTCACTCTCTCTCCATCCCTTTTCTTGCTTGCTTCAGGTTGCTTGAATGATGCAAAGCCTTTGGCCTGGGTGCTTTTGTTTGTACATATAGTGGATTTAACGTGTGATTTAAGGTGAGGATTCAGGGGAAGGACTAACACACCATGTATGAACTGAGCAAAGATTTCATTATTCTTTATGTCGCAGGATGTGAACACAGCCTTGAAACACCTCAACTCAATGGCTCATAACTCACAAAGGCACCTCAGCTCACGAATCCCTCTCCTCAAACCCACAAATCAAAACTCTCCTGTCTCTCGCCTCCCGGCTGGCCTTGCGTGTGTGTGTGCCCGCGTGTGTCTTAGCTGTTATTTCATGCAACGCCTCCGACCCTTTCTGACCTGCTCTAATACAAAGTCAACACAGGCTTGAGAGAAACTGTCAACATTTCCCTAATTTCTTTCTTGACCACCTCATGAACTTTCTCCTTTTGTCCAATCAAAAGCAGACTCAGGTCAAGTCGAGACCTCTAAAGCCGTCAATGTCTCCTGAGAGAAATTTCAGTTTACCTACGCTCTTCTTCCTGCGGTCTTCTTATTGTGGTTTATCATGAGCAGCACTGAGCCTTTCTGAGCCTGCAAATGGAGAGAGCAAGAGGAGCCGCTCCGCTGGATGAAAGTAAAACCACCTAGTTACCTCGACACGTCTGCTGACTGAGGGAGAGTGTTCTGTGGCATGTCTGTGCATGCAAGCGTTTATATCCGTAAATATGTGCCAGGCTAAGTACCTGCAGCCCACTTCTTGACTACAGACTTACTCCTGACAACCGACTATGCAATGATGTGAAAACTAAGTAGTGTTGGAGTAAACTGCTGCACACTGCCACCACCAAGTTTATACTGAAGGATGTTTGAGTTTAAGACCTTCAGGCATTAAACTCATAGTACTTAAAAAACATCCATATACAGAAGCATAAGGCAATGAAAAAGGAGTCACATTACAAACAGCAAATAAAACTTGTGGTGCCATTTTGTTGACGTCCAGGACTTTATAATTTATGTTTTTATAATTGATGGGGGGTTTTTTTGTAATTTTTTGGTTGAAAAATATAGTTAATAACGTCCAGTCACTTCCTGTTAAATCATTTCTGGTTTCCTCATTTACTGGCATACATTAAAGGCATATATGTACAGCATGCTCCGAAAGCAATCCGTGTGAATCTGCTATGAAGAACCATTGAGGCAATGTGGTAAGTTTATTTGTGCAAGTCCAGTCATTTTTGGCGTAATCCTGCTAACTAACAGGCAGACAATCAAACAAAAATTAAAACATTATCTCTCTACTGGAAGTCATAATTAATAAATTAATAAAATACATATGAGTCATATGTTCTCCCTGTGTCTGCGTGGGCTTTCTACTGGTACTCTGGCCAACTCCAAAGACATGTAGTTTCATTCATGACTCTAAATTTGCCCATAAGTTTGAATATGAGTGTGAACGGTTGTTTGTCTCTGTATGTTGGCCCAGCGATACACTGGCAACCTGTCCAGGTTTACTGTCCTCTCGGCCAATGTCAGCTGGGATCGGCTCCAGCGACCTTCAAAGGAAAAGCTGTAACGATATGGATGGATGGATAAAACGCACACGGGGACTGAGATAAATACTGTAGACAGATTACAGTTTAATCATATGTGCCCATTTTGTATCGAGTCATAGGTCAAGTACAGTCATTTGTTGTATATTAACTTTATCTCCCAGCTTCACTGCAGCTGAGCAGCCTCCAAAGCTTCCTGATCTTTGCCACAATTGATCATCTCCCTGCCCATCTGCCATGAGTCATTCAACCTGTCTGTGACCGCTGCGTAACCTCCACTGACCTCTGAGGTCAGCGTCTGCCGGCTAATAAACTGAGTGACCTCCAACATGGCAGTAAGTCTGCACACTTTCCCCCGCAGCTACACACACACACACACACACACACGAGGACTGACACTGAATGCAGAAATCTCCTCCGTTTTTTCATAACTAGAAGCTGTAATCAAGACTTGGCGTCATTTCTCTTGTCATCTCGTCAATAAGTAAACACTCTCCATTGGTTTATAAAGTATTTGTGTGGATTAGCCCTCTGGATCAGACCGAGTGCTGAAGACCAGAGAGTCTGCAGCTGCTCATCTTGTCTTGGGCTTAACACAGCAAGGTGCTGTACCCCACCTGACACCATCCAAATACATAGTTTACTTTCCTTTAGCGCAGCTGGGGAGAGGATGGGGAGAGGTAGCTGCTGCAGGTGCCTGGGCAGGGATTCAGCAGGGCTTGCAGTCTGAGGAGCAACTATGCTAATGGTGACAGGCTTTGGGGATGAGTGAGGCGTCTTATCAGGCTATGCACTGTGTAGGAGCTTTTTGCAGTCACACCTGCCACCACAGGTACTTATTTATACATTACACATTTTAAAACTCTGCCTTCCTGCCGGGCTGTCTCCGGCTCACACCTGCATTTGCACATGGATCTTTTTTCACTTTAGACTGATCATTTTCTGTCAGGAAGCCGAAAACAGTATTAGCCACTTACAAGGAATATATAAAAATATATATACTCTTGAAAGTCTTTCTCTGCCATCAACACCCCTCGTCTTTCTGCCTGCAAGTCTCGCATTTCATTATCATCTACTTGGCTGAGACATTCATATCAGTTTACCTGTTATTCAGTAAGAATTTCTGCAGCTGTAAATTGGAAATAACCTTTTTTAAGACTGGTTATATTTCAAAGCTGTCCTGCAGACAACAGTAGCTGTAGTCTAAGGGCAGTTTTATTATCTTGCTATGTGCATGTGTGTGTGCTTATAGACCCTCTCTACACAGACAGAATGGCTGGAACCATAGTAACATAGTTTGATATATTTACTACCAACTCTCCCTAGTGAGGTTAGACCAGCTGGAGGCCAGGCACTGGGTCATTTCCTGGACCACAGTGGCGTCTCTTATTGGAAACCACTTCAATCTTCTTTCAGACTGCTACTACAGCAAATAACCAGCACCACATGTGGAAACCGACTGTCTCATTTTTTTAGCATGTTATAAGCTAAATTAATTTTTTGACAATACGGGGCAGTAAATCTCGAGGTGCATGTTTTCTGTTAGCTCTGTCGGCCTCTGCTCGGCTCCTGAATGGCTCCGGGGGAGCAGCAGATGTAGATCCGCAGCCTAAACCTGGCGCTGCCGTCCACGACCCCCTCGTCTGGCCCTCCTGACCACCAGGGCTACTGTCTACACCGGATTCAGCACATTCAGCAGACTGACAGACATATGGGGACCATCATCATATGGAGACCACACGAGAACACATTTGTCAGGCCAACTATCTTCAGATGCAGCTACTGTCTCAGAAATACTGGCAAAGTTTCTGTAGTGATTTCACTGCAGTGATCACTGTTTCTAATTTGGTATGTGCTTTTGCAAAAATCATTTTACTCATTTATGAAACATGGGACTAACTACTAACATATTTACAGCACTGTCTTAGAGTGGATCTTTGAGTTTAATAGAGTAAATATTGTGCTTGATTGATATTAACTGATATTTTTCCCAATTACTTTCTGCTTAATTCCGCTTATCATGTTGAAACGTGTTGGACCAACCAACCAACCATGTCAATTCCTGACACAATCTAACAGTTAACACTTCACACAGCAACGCAAATGGTTCAGTTATTCACTATATCAGTAAATTTAACTGTCAGTAGAGCTCAAACCTCTGCCAACAGTCCCCGTAAATTCAATCAAGCTGCACCAGATTTCACATACTCAAGGACAATATCAGTCCTCTTAATATACTTAATTTTTTTATCAAGATCCATGACTTGCCCTATCTCACAATTTTAAAGAAAGTCATAAAAAAATTCCCCTGCACTGCAATTTATAGGGTTTTCCCCTGACCCATACCACAGCCCTCCACATTGTCCAGTGGTTTATGCATAATCTCTAATGTCCAATGTCTAATGGCCATTGCATGGCACCGAATGTAATGATAACAGATTTAAAAACTGAAAACAGACTTAATACTTGTATGTGCATGTGTGCACACATGTGGTGCGGCAATAAAAACCACATCAGACAGGTTTAATATTTCTCAAAGCTCATGTTAACATGAACATTGACGATTTGGCAATATGTTTGCTAGTTTGTCTTGTGTGAATCGATGTGTGTTGTGTTGTACCTGGCTCCGATGTAGAGAGTCCGATTGACTTGCATGATCCTCTGTATGTGCAGTGGCTCTTGTCTCAGCCACGTCCGGTGGGGTCGTCCCAGAAACACCGGGTATCGTCTCGCCACTATCAGGGAATGAGACACAGAGACGAACAGTGACTGATCCTGGTGTGACATCAGTCTTTGATGAAGAAAAGTACTCAAAACAGAAGTGGTTTTGTGTTTGTTTTGACAGCTCCGCAGCAGTAGCAGGGTGATGTGGTGACAAAGCTCGAGGCTTGTAAAACAGCAGCACATCTGATACATTGAAGAGACAAAGACACAGACAAATAATCCTCTGAGAATGAAAGATTTCTGAAATGTGCTGCATGTGTCACTGTTACATTCACAAGTTTTACTAAGTGATTGAGACTCACTTCTGATAAATTGCTCTTGTTGACAAGTTTGGCAATACGTGTTCTGTCAGCCGACTCAGATAATTCAAAAAATTGAGACACACAAGAATGGATGACATTTTAAAAACATCAGAAAACGTACATCAAAATGCTCAAAGTGTTTTCAGAGGACAAGGATTTCTGTACGTGAAGGAAGGGAAACCTTCAGGGAGAGAAATCGAAGATAAAAGCGGTGGATTGTGTTCAGCCGTTGGTCTATTTTTTTTATCACATCCCACAGATGTGACACAGTGTAAAATAAGTGGAGAGAGAAGCAGAAATAACAGTTACGCATAAATCAGATGGAAAATCAGTATGGCTGCCTGTCTTTGACCTTGACTGAGGTGAATGAGACAGTATTTTTTTATCTAACATCCACGCATCCTCTCTCTGTCCTGTTTTTTAACCCACACACAGTCCATTCATCTGTTTCCTCTTCTTATTCACCTCCATGTTTTGTCAGCTTGTTTTATTCCTGTCATGTAATTACTTTCAATAGTACCTTTGTCGCTGTGTCCTGGGATCTACTCTGATTCATTCTTTCTCTTCTCATCCTCCACCTCCACTTATCCGTCCACCTCCACACTTTCCCTTCATTTGTCTCATCTGTCCATCCAGATGGGAATGTGCTTAGTATTATATCTTATACCTGCAGTAGACCACAGTTGCAGAGCTGAATGCAGTGTAGCTCTCAGTAGCCTGACAACCTCTATTCTCTGCTGCGTGTGGTATTGATACGTGCAGAAGGATCTGGACTCAGCTGGGGAAACGATCAATCAATATTATTGAACTGCAATCAATCAAAGGTCTGGTCTAAAATGGAGACTGCCAAGCTGATATGGAGACTCAAAGTCTGAGTGTGTGAGGAGCTCTGTCTCCTGAGGGTCTCTCTGTGTGTGTGGGAAAATTACAAGTTTCTTCCTACACTCTCCGCTCTCATTCCTGAGTGTGACCCCACAACTCCTGACCTGGACACCAGTCAACACCCTTCGTGTGAGAGCCTGTCTGACCTCAACAGCCCACACCGTGACCCCAAGCCTCCTCTATGCTCTCCCCCTCACATTCAACACCCTACGTGTTGGGGCACCACACACGGTGACAAGGGCGAGAGGCACGCAGGGGAGTAGGTGGTGAGAGGATGAAAAAATCAGCGGGGTCAATACCTTCGGTGGGGATGAAGTTCAGGGGCCCGGGTTCCTCTGGGAACGCTGAGCTGGCCGTTCGGAGGAGCCAACAAAGCAGGAAGAAGGAGGGAGGGGCCATGGTTGCCATATGAACAGCACTGGAGTCTGTGGAAATAAAAAAAGACAAAAAAAGGAGAAAAGAATAAGTTGCTTAATAAGCCAGATAAGTGAGACATGTATACATATACATGGACAGATACAAATAAGCTGTGTCCCAATTCAGGGGCCACCTTCTCTTGTAGGACTTGGTCTATGCGGCCCACAAAGGAGGCGGTCTTCAGGAGCTGCATAGACCATGAATACCGAGCTGAAATGAGACAGTTTGGTCAACAGGGGATTTCTGAAAACAGCCAGCATGTCCTGCCGGTTACTGCTGCCGCCTAGCAACAGAGCTAGAGTTGGACACGACAAAAAAGTTTTAATGCCCGCTGGCATTTTGACATGTGTAGCGATAGCTGTTCAGTTATGTTGAAGCCAGATACTCAAGCATCGGACGTCTCATAGCTCTGCGGCACCATTACCTCTTGGAAAAAGGGTTTGTCAAGTACAATGAATCTTGGGATATGTTGAACCGAGAAGGATCCACCTGCTGTTGCCTTTGTTTCTCTGGGATGGAAGGACGCATTGAGGCACAGCTATTCACTTACTTAACCACCAACTCACCAACTAACAAACAATGGAACTAACTAACTAACTAGCTGGATCGTTTTCTCAATTGAAGCTCTTTCTTTAAAGACCCGTAGCATCTCTATCTCCCTGATTTGAGGGGTGATAAAAAGCTGCTCAGACTGAGCGATTGAGTCATTCATTGTGGGAAGTGTCCGGTCAGATCTGAATACAGCCAGATCACTGTGATACAGCCCCACCACATCAAACATCACACCACCTATGACACATATGACAACTATGAGAAAGAGATATAGGAGCACAAGTGGGGGGTGACATCTTTGGCACGACAGAGGCCACGATACAGCCTGTAAATTAATAGAAAATCTGTCTTGGCAGAGAGTGAGTGAAAGGCTCAATAATGCTGCAGACATCAAGCTTTATCCAGGATATAAAAGAGACTGAGTGAGGGAACATAGTGGTGTTTCACTTAAATTAAATGCTTGCCATTGACGCATATCACCTTTCTGACGGCAGAGCTAAACGGTCAGTATTTTTCATCATGTAGCACCAAGGCACATGCAGGTTCTCAAATGTGATTCATGTGGAAATACAAATGATACCAAAATTAAGTTACTTCACACAATCCATCTAGAAAATGACTCCGGCACTCAGGCCTTGTCGGAGAAAAGCTTTCAGAATTGCCACAAGCCTCGGAGGGTATAAAGGGCAGGCTGCTACCTCTGCATTTCTCTACAATTTCACTGTCATAGCGTTTGTGTGTGGTCGCATTCAATGTCCATCCAGCTGAGTCCTCTATTCAAGTTGTTATTTTCTTGTAGTCTTATTCATAATTATTTTAGTTGTCCCCTCTCCATGCCTGCTTGGCAAGGATTTCCTAAAAATTTCACAAACACAGTGATTTATAAAACCTCTTAACTCCACTTTAACTCGTTAATGCTGAAAGCAACGCTGAATAATTTGCATTGAAAATCAGCCAGGCATGTCACCGCAAACAAAAACATCTCTTTCAGCCATGCACAATTGCAACATCTCAAATTTGAATAGTCAAGGTTGGATTTCTATATGCAAAACCTAGCATTTTACTGTGGTCACACATGTACCTGCAGAAAACAATGCAAAGACAAAGACCTTGCTGAATGCACAGTATCCAGGATTCATTTATCTCAGGTTTCATCTCTCTTGAACAAGTGCACATATGCAGGTTTTCTACATGTAGGGGTAAACTAAGTGAGCGAGCAGACCAGTAAAATTGCTCTGTTAGGTCTCATCCACTGTGAGCTGGGGCTTCTGTGTGAGATGCTGTGGTCAGTTAATGTGTTAAACTTATTTTAGCCCACTCACAACAGACATGCATGTTGGCCAGCTACCTCTGTGCTTCTGGTTTGATAGTGCCGTAGTGAGCAGTGTGTCCACGTGGGTGTCATGTTTACATCTGGCAATCAGAGCTGTAGCCACTACTACTGATTCTATCCTTTCACACACACAGAAACCAGATGTTAGTGGGTGTTACAGGTTTTTTGGTCCAGTGTAAAATGGCCTTTAGACTTTCACATGTCAACTTCAATTAAGTTCAAGTCAGTTGTTGCCTTGTGTGCTCAAGAGCTAAACTGGCTAAGATTATATTTTGTTGCATATAAGACCCTCGTGTATTTCCATAAAAGTACAATCTTGATATAAGCCAATTAAATAAACTTAAACAATGACAATAAGACATGAGAAAACAATTTACTGTTTCCACAGTTGGCTGCAGGAATTAATTCCCACTCAGGCACAAGCACAGAGCTGAGTTAATGCTGGATGTTCCACTTCATACCAAAGGTGAGGATGGGTTTGAGGTCAGTGCTCCGTGCTCAGGCCGACCCAAACTGGGAAAGACTATTTTTATTGGCCTCACTTTGTGCAGTGAGTGAGCAACTGTGAACCTCTTTTCAAGGTGATCCTGGTGCTAGTGCTGGGTGCGAGGGTTGGTTCGGACATGGTTCAACTTTTAAGAACCTTTTTTCTTTTCAACAGGCTAGAGCCACCATGGAGCCACGTCATTACGTCTCCAATTTCCCAGCAACCCTTGCTGCTCACTTTGCAAACTTTTACCTTGGTGGAAAAAAGGTGTATCTGATGTTGGAACAGAAACCCACCATCTCCAAAAGCTGCCACAAAGATGAAGCTCATTACTGTATAACACATTGTGCTGTAGCCAAACTACATCCACATTCAAAGGAATAAATACATTATATATTATTTACAAATGCTGAAACATACTGTATATAGGCTGTAACAGCAGCAGAGTTAATAGAGTTAAGTAAAGTTTGTTAAGATAACTCAACATTAACTATTCGTCATACATATTTTAGAAAAAACTCCTGCGCGAATTGAATTCAGCAAGAGGGTATTTTAATGCAATGCACTGAACTTTTTATTTGTAAGAAAAAAATGTGTTTTTTCTTCTATAAAAAATGATGTAGTCTTGCTTTGTTCACTTCCCTTAATTGGAAGTAAGGGACCGAACTCAAACCATGACTCACAGTCTCTCAACAAAAAAGGCCGTAACTATTTGTACAGAGGCTCAACAAAATATGCTAATTAAGTAAAAATGTTAATCATTAACAATGGATTATTTCTAAAGTCAATAAATCAAATAAAATGTAGTACGATATATAGTTTACATTTGGAACCAGCTGCCTTTCTTCAACCATTCTTTCCCTCTTACATACGCTCTCTCCTCTGAAAGATACAAACAGCCATTGTGCAGCCCATCTCCTTAATGGAGTCCCAGACATAACCTTATCAGGACATATAATCTTTATGGGACATTTCTCAAATTCCCCTACTCTGTCATCACAATAAAAGTGGGAGGCATACTAATTACTCAACACCCACAAGCAAAATTACAGGAGGTGAAGGGGAAAGAGTCATGGAGAGAAGAAAGGAGGTCACTGGGTAGCGAGAGAGAGAGAGATGGAGAGAGATAAGTGAGAAACAAAGAGCGAGAGAGAACGAAGATGAGAAGTCAGGAAGTCAGTATATCCAATCAGAGATTCTATTGTGTCTGCTATTAATAATGTATGAATAAATGTCAGGCGGTATGCATTCGATTAGTATAATTAGACACTCTGGGCTATACAATTTCATGGGACAACAGAATAAGTAGATACACAAGTATTAAAGCAAAGTGTGTGTGTGTGTGTGTGTGTGTGTGTGTNGTGTGTGTGTGTGTGTGTGTGTGTGTGTGTGTGTGTGTGTGTGTGTGTGTGTGTGTGTGTGTGTGTGTGTACATGCAAACAGTTCCGAGCCAAAGCATCTCTGTAATTATGACAAATGGCTCTAGCTAGTCCATTCAGAAGCACAAGCACAAGCTGCATGGTAGTATGACATTATCACTGAGCCAGGCACACTGCAAGTCACATATATATATTTTGCCATTTGTGGGAGACATTAATCCAAAATATTCAGCCCATGGGTGCTATAGCACTCTGTGTATGGAACTGAAATGGCAGTTGATGTCTTTAAAGCCACATTGAAGTTGGCACACAGTGCGTGGGCTCCATGAATTTTAAAAAACGTTAAAAAAACAACATACTGCCAGTAGCAAATTATTGCATCAGTTCCTATTCCGCGGGGACTATTGTTTCCAGTGTTGTGACAAAAACTGGAGGAACTGAGCTTGAGCTCGGGCACTATCCCAACAGCCCTATTCGTTTGCCAAGTTAATACAGATGGCAAATGACGACAGTGGAGAAAAAAAATTAAAACAATGTCTGGTCGAGTGAAACTTCAGTTGTAGCTGTAATTCCCGATCCATTGTAACTTTCTGCTGTTCTTTATTTGGCTGTTTTCAGAACAAAAAGTTTGCCTTTTTGAGGAGAACACGAAAATATCAGGTTTTTGTTTACATCACATTGACACTGGGGTCTGCCTGTATCAAGGAAAGTTTGTGTGCTTCAGTTTTAGAAACTCATCAACACACCCACTGACTATAGATTTTCCTGTTGTATTATCACAGGGGCTCACTCATTTTCTAGACATTTTACAAGGGGCCTTGCAGGACAGTTGCCTTCTCACATACAGCCCCTCTGGAAAATTACAGACTTCAGTGCAGGTCTAACAGCAGCTGTAAAGAAACTCACCACCTTGCTCCAGTCGCTAGGATTTTACGCAGACTTGTTAATTTCTCCCGAGCCCCAGATCAATTTGGTTGTGGAAGGTGTAACGTCTCCCTGGACTTTATCACTGCCACCTCATAAAGATAACCACCATAGGCGACTTGGATATCTTGACAAACAAATCACCAGCCAATCAACTATGTCTGGTGTCTTAAGTGAATCCCTAATGAGGGCTGATCATCCTCTGATACAGAGTGAAGTCAGGGCTTTAAAGGGAAAGAATGACTCGATGGTGATGAGAAGAAATGTGAGGAATCTCTGCAATGTGGAACTGGATGCCTGTTATACAGAGATGTCCCCTCTGCTGCAAGGGTT